GTGGGAGGTGTTGTCTGTCATGATTGTCTTTATCTTGAACAACATTGCCTCTCAGACACCACCCTAACAGAGTCCAGCTCCATCCCCACAACATAACTGGCCTTATGGATCAGTTAATTTAGCCTTTTGGCATCTGTGACCATCTGCATCTACAACAGCAGAGAGGATCGCACTGGCCACAACAGAAATACAACAAGATAACATTAATTAGTAGGGACAGTGAAAACGTCTGTTTACCTTTGTTAGCCACTTGGCTATGATAGTAAACAGTAGACACTGATGTAGCGTACTGACTCTTTGGACTGTGTTCAGCACAATATTAATTAGTCATTGTCAATTCTTGATTTGTCCTGTTTCATTGTACGACCAATTATGATGGCTGTTTGTAAGCCATTTGCATACTATGCATACTCTGTGTGTGTATGTGTGTGTGTTTCTCTGGTGAAATTCAGTATGGTTTCGACAACAGTTTTATGTTAATGTAAAACTGTATATGTTTTATGTGTGTGTGTGTCTGTGTCAGAGGGAGTGTTCGCCCAGGGCGCCAAACAGGCTAGGACCGCCACTGCTGAGGAGGATGACTTGAAGGAAGAAGATATTTTCTTCAAATACAGTTAAAAATATTTTAAGTATATAAAAATGTAACAAAAGTGCTTTTGAACTACAATAATAAAAGCTCTCAGTGTTACATTTGCCCCCAAGCGCTAATTTTTTCTTGATTTATATAAATTGTGTTTTTACTGAAGGTACTGTTATAGTGCAGACATATATGTTCCTTCAAAGATGTCTGTTGTGAGTTGCTCCATTTCCAAAGTTGAACTGATCGTAGTGAGGTGAAGGGACGGTAAGTTTTACCGCCTCTGAGTTCCGACGGGCTGCTGTGCTGTGACGGGGGAGAGAGGCGTGTTCACGGCAGGAATGCAGCGCTCAGGTGGAGAAAGAGAGAGGGCAGCAAAGAGAGAGAGGGAGACACACCGACACAACTGCAGCAGCCGAGCTGTGGACAAGTGGGATCGGCCCGTGGCCCCCGTGCTCCTGAGAAGTCGTCCCGCTCCTCTGTGCGCACTTTGGCCGGACTGAGAGGAAGATCACGAGGAAAATAGAGGGGAAAGTGCCACCGGCGCTACCTGCTGCTGCTGCGACCACAGTCAACCGGGAGTCACCTGCCGGGAGGCAAAAGTGCATTTTAAGCATAGTTGTAGGAACACGTTGGAGTCGTGGAAGATGGTTTATAAGAAGCTCTTTTTTTAAAGGACAAAGGGCCCTTCGTGTCACTTTTTGCACTTGCGCGTGCAGCAAAGGAGGTCTTACAAAAATTAACGTATTTATTATTTTCAGGCTTTACTTGTAACTGATGTCATGTGTTTTGGGAAGTGGGACGCAGCTGTTTGGATGGACAGGCACTTCAGCTGAGAGAGCGTGAAAGACACGAGACTTCCTTCAGAGTGTCTGCTAAAAAACAGCGAAGGCAGAAGGAAGAAGCCTCCAGCAGACGCAGGGACATGGATGGTATCGCTGTCTTTGAAATCCGTGTGTCGGCGCAGTCTGCAGATTGGGTGCACAGCGCGTCCGAGCCGTGACACTTCATCATGACAGAGAATCCAAACTGCACCTGAGCGCGAATGTAACGTTACCGGAGCACACTCCACTACAGGATCCACGATGTCCTCAGTCCAGACGAGGTAAGAACGAGGGGCTGTAAACGATCTCTCTGATCAAGTTTATCTTCCACCCGCAGGTGGGATTAATATACTGTGATTTCTAATAAGAGTCCAGCTTTGATAAGAGGCGACAAATTCCAGAGAAGCAACATGGAGCCTGTCTGTCCTCTGGAAGGAGGAAATATTTGGTGGCTTTAAATATTTACCTTGAGTTATTTTTTTTCTTGCAAGGAGCTGCAAAGCCTTGAACATTTCTTGCACTGCATTGAAGGATGGGAGGTGATAAATTCCAGGGACACTTGAGTTTTTCTCTTCCCCAGTGGGTTGGACGGTGTTTGTTTTGTGGTTTGATCCATTCCAAGAAGTTCAAGGAAAACTTGTGCTGTGGGGCATCTTTTCTCAGTTGTTTTGGAGCATATTTGAAAAAGCTCGTTGCTTGGGTGCTTCTGTGTTTCGCTTTATTTGGTTTGTGCATTTGGTTTGACTTGGAGCAGCTTAGTTGATCCTGCAGTCGCCTGTGAAGCCAGGGGCAGAAGTCATATCCAGTCTGCTGTAGGCTACTTCCTACCAGAGGGTGAGGTAATCCCCCTGCCATATCAGTGATATTACAAGTCCCGACTCCACATTCCACACGCCCTGATACTCTGCCTTTATCTCCTAAATGTCACTGCCTATAAATACCCTGGTAATATTTTATCTAATCCTTACCCTGCAACAGAGAACACAAACACAGAGGACTGCAGAGAGACTCAAACTTTGCAAAGCTTTTTTCATATCTGCCTCTCAAGTGGACCTGGTGTGCATTTGATGCCGTGCATCAGGGCACATTTGTAGGACCGCTGTCAGCCAGGCTGGTGTGCAGCAGGAGAAAGAGGAGAGAAAGAATTGGCTCAGGGCACATTTTCTGTGTCGGGTAACTCTTCAGAGGAATGTTTGTTTGGGAAGCAGCTGTCAGACTCATGAACAGGTTTAATCTTCTTACCATGGAACACTGAGCATATAGCTTCAAAACGAGGACACTAATTTGGTGTAACACGCAACGATGTCACTCTCTCCTCTGGCAAGGAATTTCAATCCCTTTCTCTCGCCTGGGATTTGCGCTTTAAGCACTAGAGAAAGACATTAGTGGTTTTTTTAAGTGGCTCTTTGTAATTGATGGATTATCCTTGATGTGTAATGAAAGACAAAAAGTTATGCAAGCCTCAGTTTTCTTCTAATAAATACAACGTTCTTAATTTAACAGATGCAAAGCTGAGGTACATGATTTTGCACTCCAGTGTTCATTTTTACAGACATGTTCTGCAATGGCCTCTACGTGCATATAAAGCATCTGGTCCATGATGAAGATTGAAGGTAGTTTTTGAAATTATGAAAATATCTCTAAGTTTTGTACTGTTTTTGGCTGTAACTGCTATCACACCTGAAAGCCTGAGACTCCATTAGAGAAGCAGGTGATAGTACCATTAAAACCACTGGAACCGAGGGAACAACGTTGATCATCAGGCAACAAGTGAACGGCCAGTGCTTGAAATGCTGGAAACAGGAAAAAATGGGGATAATGATCATAGAGACTTTGATGATGGCTATATTAGAAAATCATAGCAGTGCCAAGAGGGCAGGTCTTGTGGAGGGTACCCTGTATGCTGTGGTTACTAGCTTCAGAAAGCTGTGATCAGTAATGGCCATGGGGAGATTTTTGCTCTTCTAAAAGACTTGCTAAAATGTAAAGGCTGCTAAAGGTTTATGGAGCAAGTGCAAACCTCCAGGAAAATGTGGAAGTACCAACAACAAGCAGTTTCTCTAATGGCCATGTGAGGCTGGCTCCAAACTGAATCAGACCCCAAAGGCTGCCATGTTCAAATGCCAGATTTTTTAGATTTAAAAGTATGTTTTCAGCCTGGGACAAAAACCATTTCAGCCTCTTTCTATTGATAGTCTCCCTCCATAATAACTGTACAGGAGCTGGATTAAACTCACCTGTTCAGATATTTAAAATGCTGAAAGTTGGTTAATGGACGCAAATAAATGATGTAGTCCAGGCCGAGTGCCCAATGAGGCCTGGGTTTGCTAGGCCTCACCTCTACTAACTCTAGTTCCTGAAACGGTCACCTCCTCTCCATTTTTAGTGGAAACATCTCAGAAATGAAGTGACCTGTTGTGTAGTACTGACCATCCAAGAAATCTGTGCCTTAAATTTGGTGAGTGAAATTCGAGTATCTTTTTAGCTTGATACTAATTAGCAGATCTGTGCACCTACACTTTTGCCTATGAATACAGCTCGCTAGCATTAGCTGATAACTGGTACCTTCACTTCTGGCTCCAAAGATACATCCAAATCACCAATGGTGAGGCTTGGAAATGCATAGTCCAGGGGGATGTTGCATTACAGTCTTATACAGTCTTTGGTTTGGAACTTTGTTTATGCTGTCCATAATCAAATGTGCCTACATGTGAGAGTTAGGGCCCTTTTATATAGAAAGTGCAACATGCTAGCTGCGACAGTATAGCTGTGTGACCAATAGAAGTTCAGAGCCTGTAGTACGAATGAAGATCATGAGTGGAAGCAAGAAAGTGATGTAGTACAGCCAGAGCCCAGCACAGTGCACGCCGCTTCCTGTGTGAAAAGGGTGGATGTGAACCATGGAGCAATGGAAGAAGGTGGTTCAGGTTGCAAAGACAGGATTATTTGGACCTGTTACAAACGTCTTTGTTGTGGATGCCACAGGACATCTTCCGGGTTGTTGTGGAGTCCACGCCTTAATGGGTCAGAGCTGTTTGATGGGAGACCTACATGAGCGAGCAGATGGTTTTAATGTTAGAGCTGATTGGAGTAATGTTGCCGCAAGGAAAAAAGTACTGCATCACAATTTGCCAGTTAAAAAGTCTGTGAATTATCCAGTCTTCATTTTAAACTCTGGGGCTGGCTGGTTTAAATCTCAGTGCTCCCTGGGAGCTGTAATTAGGAACACATCAGTCAAACAGTCAGATTCAGATTCTTCAACTTAGGTCCTCATACATTTTTAAGAGTAAAAAGGCCCATACATGGAAGGAAGGCAACTGTACCATTATTATAACTGTATTATTACATTTATTTAAGCTTCTTATTATACAGATAAAGATACTGAATTCTTTATAACATTTTAATTATTTATTAATCGAAGAACCACATTTGTAAAGTAAGTAAAATTGTATTTATATATCACTCTATAAGTCAAATATCATAAGGTGCTTAGAGTTAAAGTTTAAAGAGATTTAGTAAAAGAGACCAGCGAGTCCACAGATCTCAGGCTCTGAAGAAAAGAGATCAAGAGTCTGGGGGCCACTTTTGCTAAAGCTCCTTTAGTTTTGTATCCATACATCCACAGCAGGTCCTTATCACATGACCTCAGGGACCTGCTGTGGATGTATGGAGCTAAAAGCTCTCTGATGTGCGTTGCTGCTTGCCCATGCAGAGCTCTAACATTTTAAATGAATGAAGCAGAATCTTCAAGTGGACTCTGACATTGATGGGGAGTACTTGGACTCTTAGTCTGAACAACCGGCACACGCTCCAGGGAGGACTTGTTAAGACAAGCACCATCATACCGGAAACTCTCGTGATGATTCAACGTGGAGAGTTTGATGTCCGTCCAAGTCATGAAGTACTTCAGTTCTCAGTCACAGCTTCTCCCAGTTTAAAACTCTATGCAAAAAACCTTTTGTTTTTAGATACACCCAAATGACCTAAGACAAGAATAAAGGACAGGGCAAAAACAGTACTTTAATTCACAAAACAGATTATCTGCTCAAATAGGTCAGATCACAGCTGCAGCTACAAAAATACCCACATTAAAGATGTTTTCTTGAATGAAATCAAGGCATGAGTGTGATAATCAGGATGGGAGATGGTTCAGATGTGTCCTCGTCAGTGGAAAGAATATTTTTGGTTTAGGTAAGGAACAGAGTATGCTGGAGGACGCAGGACGTCAACGTTGCAGTAGGAAGCTGGCAGGATGTCCAATCATTGCACTCTCACATACTTTGTTGGTCAACGTCCAGAACAGAGCAAACTAAAATGAAACACTTATTGGTCATTTCATCTTTTTCACTGTTGTCACTTTGTGTTCCTCTGTCGGTACAAACAGTAGCTGAGAACAATCACTGACTTCAGGCAAACAACTGGAATGCTGTTATCGATCCGGCAGCAAAGTAAACTCTTGCTGTCTGTTGTGCCGATTTCTTGGAAAGATTCAGCCAATAATCAAAGACTTTTTAAAGTAAACCTCAGAAACTCCTATAATGTAAAACTAGTCTTTCCACAGGTGAGAGTAACAGAAGGTTAACAAATGGTAGAGGGTGGAATCCACTTTGAACGATTTCCTGTTGTGGATATTCACATTTATACATTTTCCATGTTACTTTGAAGCAGGTACTGGCTTATCTGCAGCGGCCCACGGGCTCTGTCGGAGACAAATATGAAGCCATGCAGTCATTCCACAGACGGACGCTTTCTAGTGTCATGGACCAGGCAGATAAGGCTTTACTGCTCTTTGTGCCTATCTGAACTCAAGCTTTTACTCTTTAGTCTCTTTGTGTCCAAGGAGGACATGTGACGTTTTTGTCTGTTAGCAGGATGAACCTTTGTGGTACAATGTGAAAACTGATTGGTAACAAGGAATAACTGAACTGGATGTGATCTAAATCATAGCTTCTGCCACTGGATCATTAATGTTTTTAATCCATGATGTAGAAAATCTGACAAAGACTTGAAACTTGACTCCCAACCCTCAGGATACATTTATGTCTACTTAGTGTTTATGTTTTTTTAATCTAAGACAGGCTTCACTCTTTATGTGGATAGAAGACATTTTGAAAAGCCCATTAAAACATGGTGGGTTTAGCCCACATGTCATCACAACATCAGTTGCGTGCATCTCTCCACATTCTCATGTTGTGAGACCGTGACTGTTGGTGACCTGAGAGGCTCTGCTTCAGTCAAAGTGGCTGTGAAAAGATAATCTCATAATCCCCGAGGTATGGTG